TGTCTTCTATGATTCTTACCTCGAAAGTCAAGCACAAGCATCCTATGCTGAGTGAGAACACTCTCACCTGAAATAACCTTACAATCAGTGTAGCTAGTTCTCCAAGTGATCTGTACTAAGAAGTAGTCAATTTGGGTACTATTAGCTCCACTTTTATAGGTTACAAGGTGAGAGTCTCTTTTCTTAAACCAAGTGTTCATTATAGCCAACTCATACGTCAAGGCAAAATCCAAAATGTTCTTTCCCGCCTCATTCCTAGTGCCAAAACCATGTCCGCCATGAATACTCTCAAAGCCATCACGACTTGAGCCCACATGCCCGTTAAATTCACCTCCTATGATCAACTTCTCTCCCATTGGCACTCGTCGCATCACGTCTTCAAGATCTTCCCAGAACTGTTGAGTTGTAGATAAATCCAATCCCACATGTGGTGCATAGGCACTTACCACAGACACAATCTCACCCCTTATCACCAATTTAATGCTCATGATGTGATCGTTCTTCCCGAAGACTTCTACCACATCCTCAACATAGTCACGCGCCACAAGCCAAACAAGCTTTTCAAACCAATGTTTTTTTAAATAGCCGTTGAGGCCCGGACCGGTCCCGGACCGGCCAGTCACCCTTTTTGAAGTCCCGTAAGCCGCAACCCATTTACCTGGTTTGGGCCCCCAGTCCCATTACCACCCGGCCCAGTCCATCCATACATAGGGCATAAATATCTTAATTTTACAAAGTAGGAGATATTTATACAATGTGGACAAAGTTTGGATAGGAATATCACACGTGTGCAAAGTTTGGGATATTTTAATTATTTTACCCTGAAAAAAAAGTTTAAGAAATTCAAATAAATGAACAAATAAAGTAAAAATGTAAAAATATATAGAAATAAGGGAAAAGTACGGAAAAGGTACTTGTGATTGAGCCCGTTTTCAGATAGGGTCATGTGTTTCATTCTTTATCAAAGTAGTTCATGTGTTTGAATTCCGTTATCACTAGAGGGTCACGCCGTTAAAAACGTCTGAAAAAGATCGTTAAACATAACTCTGATTTTCAGAAGTGCCCGAAAAATTAAAAGAAAAATACCGAAATGTGTGCCTCGTCAAGATGATCTCCAAACCACCTTCGCCTTTGGATTTTTCAGATCTATTCGAATTATTTTTAAAAAATGATTTCGCTAATATCACTTTTCCGATGGACTTTCCGGTGACAAGGGTAGCTGAAAACAAAAAAGAAAGATGGCCTAGCGGTCGTCTTTTTGAGGCGCACCTTTCTGTATTTTTCTTTTAATGACTAAAATAATTATATATATATATATATATATGACTAGAATAAAGGTTGTTTACAAAAATGTGACTAGTGACTAGAATAGTAATGAAATCACAGTAATTTATGTTCAATTTTTAAATTTACGTTACCATGACACCACATTGTAGTAACTATTAGTCATATATATAAATAAGTTTTATTTTGATAATATTTTTGAAAATGCCCAAATATATAATTAAAAATTTAAGAACCTTCTAAATAGATGTAGCATATACAAAATTACCAAAAATACAAAACATTTAAATTTGACTTTTTGAAAATTTTCCAAATTTTTATCTATATTTTTTACTCCCTCCGTCCCCAAAACAAGTTACCTGTTTGACTTCACACAGATTAAGAAAATAAATTTAACTTTACTGTGGAGTGCACTGTTTTGCACTGTTCAAACACTGTTTGGCACTATTTTGCACTGTTCAACCACTGTTTGGCACTGTTTGAAACTTTTTTGATGTAAATAATTAGCCAAATAAGGAAAGTAAGGAAGTGTGAACTTAATTTAGGGACTGCCCAAAAAGGAAAGTGGTAACTTAATTGCGGAACGGAGGGAGTAAATTTTAACATGTATAGTGTACTTATATTTATATGATACTTTTTTAGTATATTAAGTGATGGGTTGAAAGTAACAGAACCAACTATAAATATTTTATTAGCAATCGTGTAAGCCGTCTATATACAAACAATTTTTGAATTCCACACTAATTCTTAGATATACAGGTAGGTAGAATTCGAAAAGTTATGGCGTGATGTTCGTAACTAGAACCATTTTCTTCAAATCATCAATATGTTGTACAAGTCCGTGCAAGACCTGAGAGAGAGAGAGAGAGAATTACTTAGTTGGTACATAAACAAGAACATCATGTCCGAATATTTGGCATATATATAGGTGAGAGTTCCAGGCCCATCAATTGAGAACTCCAGATAATGAGAATTGCGAACTATTAATCTCAATCTTTCATTTATTTTAACCACCGGTTCATATTCACATGGGTCATATTCAGATTTTATCGTAGTTAATCGTAAATAATTAGAAAAACTGCCATCAATAAGACTAAACGGGTTTTGGAATTCTAAAATAAGACTACTATGTTTTTTTAAAATAAAAGTCATTGCTACCATGATAAAAAAATATTGTCATTAATGACAATAGGTAATGCCATTAATGACAATCTGTACTGTCATTTACGTCTAGTATCGCAACCATATTGGCAAAAATGATCCAAGATGATAATAAATATTGTCATATTAATACTATTTCGAAAAGAAAAACATAAAATCATATTTTAAAATTTCAAAACCTGTTACTTCTATTTCGGGAACTTTTCCAAATAATTACAAATATGTCACCATATCAATATAAGCCATATATATATATATATATTGACTATAAAAATGAAAGATTGAGACTGAAAGTTATTATCATTTTAATATGAGATCTCATTATAAGAGGGGTTCTCATATATGAGGTCACAACGGTTGTTTGTTTCTGAGTAGTTTTGCATGTATATCTACTTGCTCCTTATTGATTGTTGTTTTTATAATTAATGGGGGCCACTCCTCCACTTCATCCATTCGTCGTCTTCTTGCTCTTGAACTACAAAGACACGGCCCTCCCCCAACTACTGTTCTTGATTTACTTTGCATGCACAGATCTAAAAAAGGAAACCGAAACTAGAGTATCCATTGAAAATTTTGGCATTCGTCCCCTTCAATCTACACCTTTCCTGTCACTTTAATTGAAACTCGAAAATTGAAGGAATGCCCTTCTTTCTTCATCCTTACATCTATAGTCATCCACAGTTGTAGATTAGGAAATGAAAGGCTCTAACCCCATTTAAATTGACCAGTTCTGCCGAATTTCAACCAATTTCTTCGATTCTCAACCTTTTCTGTCTTTTGCTATGTACCAAACCAGTAATTTACCCAGCAACCCAAGTCACCCAACCGGTCCAGTCCGGTTTCTTAAACATAAGTTCTCATAAGAATCCTCCCCTATATATTTAGGATTCATTGCAAGAAAGCCTCATTTGAGTTTTCGGTAATTGTGAATATGACTCTTCATGAATATTAACTAATTATTGCAATAAATGAAAGATAAAAATGAAAGATTCTCATTATAACAAATTCCCAATTTAGGAGAGGCTCTCATTGCATTAGAACTCTCCCCAATATATGTACGAAAAAGATCTTGTCCAACCGTCAAAACAATATCTTCTATCTAGCCACCGCCATTTAGGGTGGTTCCTATCAGAATTTTTTAAGCACGTTCTTCATGAAATGTAGATTATATCCCCAAAATTTGAGATTAATATTCTATGAGAAAGATATTGCGCTTTTATTGAAAAATACTATGCTTTGGGGAATTTTTTGATTAATTTTTTTGAACATGTTCCTCATCAAGTCTAGTTTATCCACAAAAACATTCAGCTCAAAATTCGATAGGGAAGGTAGTCAAATCATTTTTTGAAGTTGACTGTGCCAAAATATACATATAAAAACGCAGTCAACTTCAAAAAATGATTTGACTGCCTTCCCGATTGAATTTTGAGCTGAAATTTTTTGTGGATAACTAGACTTGATGAAGAACATGCACAAAAAAATTCATCAAAATATTCCACCAGGAACCATCCCAAACGGCGGCGTTCGGACGGGAGTGCTGGACAAGATCATTTCTCTCTCTTTCACTCTCTCTCTCTCTCTCTATATATATATATATTATATATATATATATATATAGTTTGGTGCAGTGTTTTTCAATAATATATTTAACTGATTTTCTAACTTAATTTTAAGTTGAAATTTTGTGGACACAATCTACACTATGAACATCCTAAACAATCATCAAAAATATAATCGGGAACCACCCAAAATGACGGCAGCCAAACAAAAGATCTTGTACATCCGACTAAAATCATTACTCCTTATATATATGTGTGTGTATATACATAGTGTGTGTGTTTAAATAAGAAGAATTCTTTAGGTGAGAAATGAGAATGAATGTCAGTCATTGGATTCGACTATTTTGCAGTAAAAACACTTTATATTGCACTGAAATATGCAACCTAGTTTGGTGGCATTTTTTGAAAAAACCATGTTACAGTTGTCTAGTGCAACATGAAGCATTTTTGGTGCAACTAACAATCGTTATAGGCATCCGACTAGTCTCCACCTAGGCGCTAGGCGGTGATCGAGCACCCTGATTTTCATCTAAGCGCTCCGACTAATTGGATTTTCGTCTAGGTGAATTAGTCGGCCACCTATGGCGCCTTGTTGCCATAGGCCGTCTAGATTCGTCGGACACTACTTTACTTTTTAATTTTTTTTCTAAACGATATAAATACTTTAACTTTAGCCACAAATATAAAGAAATGAAGTTGTAAATTAAGATAAAAACTCTATATGTTTGTGTATATACCTAAATTTTATTATTATTTATATTTATAACATAATGAAGTTAAATGATAACCATATACTACCTCCTTCCCACTAACATTGGGACGGAAGGAGGTGACACGATTATTAAGAAAAGTGAATTTATGTGATTGTTATTGAATTCATAAAGTAAAAATAAAGTAAGAATGCTTTAGAGCCAAACAAAATTTACCAAATTTGGTATGGGACTATGGGACAATCTTAGTGGGATTTCCCGAAAAATGTAAAACGTGACAATCTTAGCGAGACGGAGGGAGTACTACGTATGATTAATACAAAAAATATGTATTTTATGAGTATATATGTATTTTATATGTATGAGTATATATGTATTTTATACATACAAAAAATACAACATTACTTAACATATTTATGCAAAAATATAGACAAAAATGCATTTTCTATGTCTCTGACTAGTCCCCGACTAGACGCCCGACTAGCCGCCTAGGCGCTGGTGGCGTTGGGTTGGCGCCCGACTAGCGCTTCTTAGTACATCGTATACATATATATATATATATATGAATGACTCACCAATTTGGCATCCTGGAGTGCAGATTCCATTGTTTGCATTTTCTGCATGGGCCACAATTGAAAGCGAAGTATTACATGTCAATATCACTATAAAAAATAATGAGATTGACACAAATTTAGCATGGATCTTTGGCAAAGATTCCGGAAAATATATAGGGGAATTGGCACATATTTGGTACGAATATATGAATTTCATGCCAAAAATATGTTATGATCCATTGTCAAACTCCATTAATCTATGTCGATGATGCCCCCCACCCCCCCCCACCCCCCCACCCCAAAAAAATCATTACACATGTGAGAAAAGTAAAGTTGCCCCCACTCAAAATATAGGTAATTGCAATATTTGTTTTCCTAAAATTTAATTAAATATTTAGACAGGATAAACTTAGAAAAGGCATATGACAGGGTATCTCAAGAAGTCCTTTGATGGGCCTTAACTAGAAAAGGCATATCACGTAAGTATATATCAGTATCATCATGGATATGTATGATGCTTGTACTACAAGTGTCTGCACTAGTGTAAGGAGGACCACAGAGTTCCCTATTACTATCAGAGTGCACCAATGATATGCTCTAAGTCCTTTCTTATTTGCTTATGTTTACCGACGATATTGTATTGATTGATGAAACGCAATTCGTTGTTAAAGCAAATCTGGAAGTATGACAACAAACATTGGAAAACAAGGGTTTCAACAGTGAAATTTCGGAGGTAGAAGTAGTAACAACAGTGAAATTACTCTTGATGGTAAGGAGATATCAGTGTATGATATGTTCCATTACTTGGGCTCCGTAATTCAGATGGATGGTGAATTAGATGGAGATGTATGTCATAGAATCAGAGCTGAGTGGATGAAATGGAAGCGTGCATTAGGAATTCTATGCGATTGAGATATGCCCACTATGCGATTGAGAGGTAAATTTTATCGAACAACAATTAGGTATGCATTAATGTATGGCGTAAAGTGTTAGGCGTTAAAACGATACCACATTCAAAAGATAAGTATGACAGAGATGCGTATATTGGGTTGGATGTGTGGACATACCAGAAAAGACCGCTTGAGAAATGAGATAATCAGACAAAAGGTGGGAGTAGCACCTATAGAAAATAAGATGCAGGAGTCTCGTTTGCGGTGGTTTGGAGTATGCGTCTTCTTGGGTTGGATGAGAGTATGCCTTTGGAGAGAGCAAATTTGGAGGTCGCACATCCGTGTGGATGATTGATGTCTTTTCTACCTTTCCTCTCTGTTCTTTTATCGTTTATCTTCTTTATCTTTTTATATTCTTATGTTATTTTTATCTTCTAGCTTTTTTATGCTCTTTTATCTTTTTATTCTTTTATCTTTCTTAGATTCTTATGTTATTGTTATCTTATCCTACCTCCATCCCAAATTGATTTGCAAATTTGACTTTTCTTGTTCAAACGGTTTCATTTTATTTGTTTAATTAGGATGTTATATTTTAATTATTTTCTAATTTGGAGTTTATAACTTTGTAGAGATTTTAATGTAGTTTCTGAATATACAAATTTTAATTATTAAAAATTGAATTAATTATCGATAGGTAGCATTGGCTTTTTTATTGGTTGACCAAAAAATGTTGACTTTGCAAAACAATTTGGGACGAAGGAAGTATATATTTATCTTTATTTCATCTGTTTTATCTTACTTTTTTCCCTTCTTGTCTGTCTTCTCTGTTTCGTATCGATATCATAGATCGATTCATGTCAACTGACCCCATATTCTTTTAGGATTAAGACTTGGATGTTGTTGTTGTTATATTTACCAAGGATAAAAAATGCAAGAAATCAAAAAATAGAAATTAAAAAATTAATAGTGACACATAGTCTAGACGTATCTATTTACTATGAAAGATTGTGTATTCTTTTAAACAAAAATCTGAAAATTTGAAGGCAAGTCAAATTCCTAAAAATATAAATTGAAAGTGACATGTACTCTATTACTTTATACTTCATTATTTGTATGGGAAAAAATTAAGGTATTAACTTTAGTCTTTTGTATAATATATTTGTCCATTCTTCTAGTTTTTGTCTACTGTGTATTATTTTAATGCTTCATTTTATATACTACGGAGTAGTATACAAAAAAATATAATAATGAACTTTTACGATCATTTTGTTTGAACTACGGCGAGGGGTGTATTCATTGTAAGGGCAGTGGGGACAGGTGCCCTCCCCCACCCCAACTCTACCCCCATATATATAACTAGGGCTGGGCAAACCGGTTTACATTTCGATTTTTATCGGTTTCGGTTCGGTTTATTCGGTTTAAGGTAAAATATACCAAAGTAAAACCAAATGTAATTCGGTTTGGTTTCGGTTCGGTTTGCAAACAGTTCGGTTTGATTCGGTTTTTAGTTAAGTTTATAAATTGAAAACGGTTTATAAAAGTGAAAGCAATTTAAATCAAATAAACAAGGCTAAAGGGTCAAATAGGCCCATGTACCTTTCCGGATTGTTCAATTTGTCCCCCAAACTCAAAAAAGCTCCAATTGGCACCCTGAACTCCATAAAAAGATTCAAATTTTACTTTTTAAATGTCACAAGCCGGTCACCGCCACATCACCCGGTAGGGTGTCAACTGTGCATGTGACATGGCAACTTGGGGGGTCAAATAAGCCCCTGAACACGACTGAAATGTTCAATTTACCCCCCCCCCCAACCCTTAAAAAAATTGACATTTTAAGGGTTGAGGGGGTAAATTGAACGATTCGATCGGGTTAAGAGGCTTATTTGACCCCTAAGTTGGCACGTCACATGCACAATTGGCACCCTACCGGGTGACGTGGCGGTGACCGGATTGAAACCTGCAAAAAGTGAAATTTGAATATTTTTATCGAGTTCAGGGTGCCAATTGGAGCTTTTTTGGGTTGAGGGGGCAAATTGAGCAATCTGAAAGGGTACAAGGACCTATTTGACCCTTTAGTCAATAAACAATTTATAAACATAGGAAATTGCTCAAGATATGAGTCTAACGTAGGAAAAATTATAAAATCGAACTAAAAGTTTATTCTTCTCTAAACATAGGATTTATGTAATCCGATTAAAAGAATAAAAGGATAAAAATCATTGAATTCTCTCAAATTTTAGGCAATTTTCTCAAACTTTATCTAGCATCTTTGCACAAACGTGATATAAATTGATCTTCATTTTGTACATACTTTACATTTATAACTAAAAGGCTAAAGGGTCAAATAGGTACATGAACTAATTTAAAGTGTTCAATTAGATCCTTATATAGGAGGTTCTGCCCGACCGTCGTCAATTGGGGCGGTTCCCGGTGGAATTTTTTGATGAAATTTTTTGAGCATGTTCTTCATTAAGTTTAGTTTATCCATACCAAATTTCAGCTAAAAATTAAATCAGGAAGGCAGTCAAATGATTTTCCGAAATGTATTGCGCTGTTTAACTGCACAGTTATCTTCAAAAAATCATTTGGCTGCCTTCCCGGTTGAATTTTTAGCTGAAATTTGGTATGGGTAAACTAGACTTAATGAAGAAGATGCTCAAAAAAATTCATCAAAAAATTTCATCGGGAACCGCCCCAATTGGCAACGGCCGGGCAGAACCTCCTATATAAGGGTCTAATTGAACACTTTAAGTTAGTTCATGTACCTATTTGACCCTTTAGCCTAACCAAAACTAAGTCTTACCAAACAATATTAATAATGTGATTTGCTATTTGTGAAATATGTTACTAAGTTCTAGTGTAAATTCGCCACCACTCAAAAATTTCATGGATACATCACCGAGGCTCGCCCCCACCCCCCACCCCAAGATAAATTTCTTGGGTCCGCCTCTGGCTATATGTATGTAATGATGGATGAAGCGGCAGAAAAGCAAAACATACTAAATAAAGGCCAGTACAAGTGAGGGGCATAAGTCACTTACGGCATTTGCATCATTAATGAGAGCTTCTATTTTGTGGAGGACAAAGTGCGGATCAGCGGCTTGTGTTTGGACGGGCATCTTCATCTCATCTATACTCTCTGCCGCCTCTGCTGCCTTGATCTTAACCTTGAGGGCGTCTATGATTTCAGGATCATTCCAGGGTCCTTTGTCACTTAAGAGGCAGCAATCATCGTAGCAGCAGCCGCCGCATGTGCAGTTACCACCCAAGAATTTCGGAAGGTTGCTGCCACCCCATGCAATGTTCAAATACACACACACGGAGATCGAATCTCATTAATTAATTACCATAGGTATTTACGTACGTAATCAACAGCGAGAACGCACACTGCACACCTGCTTGTACAGTGCTCACTCTACAACCGGGTGTTTTATGTTATAATTAATGAGTATAACGTTTAAAAGAAATGAATATTGGTATTAAATCGCTATATAGAAAGCCAATTGAGTATCATGATCTACATATAATATATATGCAACAAATCATTGTATTATAATATATCATTGTATTATCATCAAAATATATATTGTGCTAATTTTATAATTTAATACCAATACTCATTTCTTTTAAATGTTATACTCATTTCTTTTAACATAAAATACTTGGTTGTATCGTGTGCACGATACAACAGGTTGTACGGTATATTTTGTCATCATCAGCTACAAGCTTAATTAAATAATTAGCAAACACATGCATCATATCCATCCATCTGAACAAAAACGTTATTTTAATTACTTTTACCTTGGATCAATATCTTCAACTAGGTCACTAAGGTAGTCTTTTCCCAACACCTATATATCAGTTCAGGAAATAATTATGGTTATTTTTTTCTAGACCCAGATTAATTTATTCTTCTTTTGCATGTATCAGATAGTTAAGTTACATATGGAGGGAGGGAGGGAGGAATATTAATTATTTAATTACGTACTTTGATCTTCACCAAAGTGCGGTTTTCAATAAAACGCTTTATTGCCGCCCAAAGGAGCTTAAACCCAGGTCCTGCGTTAATAATGAAAAGCCGATGGAGTGTCTGCAATTCATCCAACACAAGGTAATTACGGAGTATTGTATTAAGCTAGCCTAGCTACTCATTTTATTACTGCGTGTCTGCCTGCCTACCTAATAATTAAGTCAAATCATATAGTTTTGCATGCATACCTCAGGATAATAACTGCTGTCTATCTTTTGGATTTTCTTAAACATCTCTTTTGCCTGTTTAGAAAAGTGAGACATACCCTGTGTGCACCCATGCAATGGTAGAGTCAGAAATCTACCGTTAAGGCCAGAGGCCGGGTCTTGAAGGTTTCACATTATAGGGGTAAAGCTTCAAATATCAACATTGTTTTTATAGTTTAATAATATTAATTAAGGGAGAATTCCCTAAACAGGAGTAAAAAAGTTTTGAAATTCCAAGTTTGGCACTACTAGGGTTTAAAACATGGCCTTTTTTCCAAACTTTGCAGATTACTCCTATTCAGGGAATAAAAAACATGATACTTCTATTTTGGAATTTCATAACGTTTTTGCTCCTATTTAGAGAAATTTTTAATTAATAAAACATTAAGCTAAAACCTTTCTTCAAAACCACTTCCAGAATTTGGTATTTTTTTATTTTATTTTCATGCCCACATTCACCTAAACACTAACATAAACATAACCCCAAATTTAAATGCAAATATATACATATAAAGTTAAAGATACACAAGCATAACCCTTGGTTTAAATACAAACACAACGGTAATTACAATATACTACGTGCGTATTAATGTATAGCATATATAATAATATAAACACAAATGTAAGCATATGCCTACGCATAACTAAACAGGTAAACATACACAAATGCTGGCCTAAACCTAAATGTATATAAACATAATCATAAATATGTAGATAAGCCTAAACCTCAACAAAAACGGATCGTGTGATCTCCGCCTATCTCAATATTGTCAAAAATACATAGTAGGTTTATGTTTAAAATATTGAATTTCACACTCTTATGTTTAATTTAGAATTGGACATTGTACCACATTTTTTAATCCTTTGAAATTGAAAACACAAGCCCCAAAACTTGGTCACTTCTACTACACTTTGAACCCATAATTAGATTACATATATTTGTCTTTACTCCCCAATTTTGGGACTAGGGAAGCCAAATCAAAAGATTGAATGAAAACTAAAATGTTCTGTGTACATAAATGGAACAAACAGCATAAATACGAATATTTTTATCTTGTCCTGAAAATAAGACCTATTTAGTTTTAATGAAAGAATTGAATACAAGTACTCCCTCCGTCACTGAATTCTATTCCAAATGACCTTTTATGTTTGTCCCAAAATAAGCTTCTCTTTCTCTTTTTGGCAAAGAATTTGTGATTCAGAGTATTTCTTCCACATTCTTACACATATCTCTCTCTTCTGCACAACTCTCACCCACCCAAGTCTCACTTTATTAGTTCCTTTGCAAAATCCACTTTTGAAGATAATTTATGAACGACGGTAGTAATATACAAGTAGTTATAGGAGTGCACAAGTATTACATGAGGAAGAAGACAATAGAGGCCTTTAGCTTTTTAGGGTATGTATATCATATATGTTTTCTTTTAGTTTTATTTAGAAAACTATCTCAAACAAAAACAGGCCCATACACGAACGCAAATTAAAGGAAAATATACTAACCACATCCTTCACATCTAAGATGCTTGTAGTGGAAGCTATAAACTTGTTGGCAGCAAGGGAACAAGCGGGGTATCTCAAATTAAGAGTCTTTTCTTGTTCGCTTACGTGATACTTCAGAAATCTCTCAATTGTTGTCACTTTAAGGAGCTGATGGATATCTATCATTCCAATCCTTTCAATGTATATTGGACGACCATATTTATCTACTCCATGAAAGCCGTGAGGGTAATATCTTTTCACCTCCTCATATTCATCAAACTTAAATTCCTGTGTCATTCATTCATCCAACATAAATTTGTAGCAGCATACGTATCAATGACTATTATTTTTTAATGATATGTTTGGATGATTGAGATACGTAACAGAAAAAATGGAAATAAAAGTGAAGTTAATAGGATCACAGATCGCTGGTATACAAAATCCGATACGCCGGGGGTACACTTCTTCAGCAAGCTATTTCAATACGCGGTACGTTGTACCATTAACATATTAAACTTACAAAGTATAAATACAATAATATTAAAAAATTAATGTAACATTCCAAAATCCAATTGTTTTCAATTCATAAACAGAATATACTTCAATTATAAGTTCAAGTATTCAACATATCATAAGTTTAACAAAATAACAAAAGTAACTTCAATAAAACTGTAGACCAAGGTTGTTAAACTTGAGATCCTAGCTCAGATCGGGTGGGAGTGAGAAGATTGTAACTCGTGAGTCATAACTAGGATCGTAAGATCCTAAAATCAACGATACCATGCATCGTATCTCAATCGGAAAAGTTGACAAATGATTTTTGAAAAATTCAATCCGGCGCAGTTATCTTTCAAAAATCATTTGACAACCTTCCCGATTAAATTTTTTGCTCAAATTTGGTATGGATGAACTAGACCTGATGACGAACACACACAAAAAATTTCAGCAAAAAATACCACCCGGAACTACCTCAAATTGAGGTGGCCAGACGAGCCTCCTGTCCCGCCTGTATATGTATGTATGGAGTCCCACTCTGGTGTGTCAAGCCGCACAAGAAGCGCCGTCCGGCTGACGGCTTTTGGCCGCCTTCCCGGTGGAATTTTTAATGAAATTTTATGGCATGTTCTTCATCAAGTCTAGTTTATCCACAAAAAAAATCAGCTAAAAACTCAATCCGGAAGGTCGTCAAATGATTTTTTGAAGTTAACTGTGCAAAATTATACATAGAAAAACGCAATTAACTTCCAAAAATCATTTGACGACCTTCTAGATAGAGTTTTTAGCTAAATGTTTTTGTGGATAAACTAGACTTGATGAAGAACATGCCATAAAAATTTCATCAAAAAATTCCACCGAGTAGGTGGCCAAAAGCCGTCGGCCGGACGACCCCTCTGGTGCGGCCGGACGCACATGAATACTCTTCTGTATGTATGTATGTGTGTCTGTGTGTGTATATATATATATAGGTTTCAGTTCAAATAAGAACATGATCTTAGGAGGGAAATGGGAATGAATCTGGACCGTTAGATTTGCTTTATGTGAAATTCAATGTGCATTAGAAGAAATTATAATGTACATTAGGTGAAATTGAAATGTGCACTAGGTGAAACTGAAATGTGCATAATAAAAGGTACGATGTGATGTTATTTTGTACCTTTTATTCCGCACATTTCAGTTTCACCTAATGCACACTTCAGTTTAAATTTTTATTCTGCACATTTTAATATCATCTGTACACATTTCAGTTTCACGAAATGTCCAATTCAGTTTCACATAATATAATCCAACGGTCCAGATTCATGCTCATTTCTCTCCTGGGAGTACGTTCTTCTCAAGACGCCCGCATCAGCCTTGAGAAGAAGCGCATGGACCAAGGTGACCGTGCATCAGGGCAACAGGATACTCCCACTGTTGACCCTCAGCTCCAGGTCGCCCTATCGGCCTTCATAGACATCTTGGTTCAGAACCCCACCGTCCTCAGTGCACTCATGCCAAGGACGGGGGAGAACACTACTCCACCACCGCCACCGCCTCAGCCGTTGGTCATGAAGATTGGCAACGTCGAGGGAGTAGAGCCGCAGGACACGTATTCGTCCCATTCGAAACCTACTTCCCGTCCCCGAGTTGGACCGACCCCAGTGCGTAGAGCCTCAGCCTTCAATAGGCTAGGGGACGCGCATCGTCGGCCATCATCGGAGAGGCTAGCGGGACGAACGGCTAAACGTGAGCCTGGCTCACTGAGGGAGAGCTTGGGGTCCGTATCCTGGACAGCTGATCAGCCCCACCTTGACAAAGGTAAAGGGAAGCTACATGAGGACGACGCACGTCGCCACATCAACACGGCCCATGCAACCCGCGTGGGGACGCACGTCACCACTACGGCCGCCGAGGACCCCTGGGATCAAAATGGTCAGTGCATGTACGGCCACTACGTCCAGGGATCCTGGCTACGGCGCCCTCTTACACAAGGTCAGTGCCTTGGAGAGGGAGTTGGCCGAGGGGCACGGTGACCCCATCATCCAGATCAGGCCTAAAACTCCCTTCATCGCCAGGATACTCTCGGCCCTAATACCCGAGAAGTACCAGGGGGAACGCTATCAGGCCATATGATGGCCGCACCGACCCTCAAGAACACTTCAGCCGCTATCAGAACAGCATGCTGATGGTGAATGCGTCGGACGAGTACCTCTGTCATTGCCTCATTGGTTCCTTTCCCCTCTCGAGGGACCAGCATAAGAGTGGTTCAACGCGTTACCCGAGAGAAGCGTGGATTCATGGCAAGATCTCGCGCAGCGCTTCCTCACACATTTTGCCAGAAGGAAGCGCGCGAAGAAACATTTCTCACATCTCCTCTCCGTCAAGCAACAGCCTGATGAAACACTCTAGTCTTTCATCGTCCGGTGGACGAAGGAAGTAGACGAGGTCGAAGGTGCTGATGATCGCACCCTCCTCGTCCTATTCCAGGGCGTTCTCCGCAGCAGCCCCTACGCACGGAGCCTCATCACCGACCCACCAAGGTCATACACCAAGACACTCCAGCGAGGGAGCCTGTATGCGGACGCCGATGAGCTCCACTCCCACAAGAAGGATAGAGGTCAGCCATCGAAGAAGACAAACAATGCGCCGGCTCCAAGCATACCCTCGATCGGGGGCCGAGATCATGGAGGCCATGCCCGCCACAACCGAAAGGACCGTCCATGGCGGCCGAGGTTGGACATGCCAAGGATTCTCCTCACACACTTAGCAAGCACCATCCTCGACTACGCAGAGGAGCAGGATCTCATTCCTAAGGATCCTCGATCGGCGAAAGTTCTACGCCATCCACCAGGGCGGCACTTATTATCGATACCACAAGAACACCTCCCACGACACAGACGATTGTGTCACGCTAAAGAAAGCCATTGAGCGCTTGATTCAACGGGGTGAACTCTACGAATTTGTTAAAGGTGCCCCAAGGAAAAACACTTGGGTGAACACCGGCAATCAGGAAGGGGTCACCTCGACGAAGAAGCGTGAAATTGGGAGGCTCAGCGATGACGAGGACTTAGAGGAGCCCCAGCCGAAGAAGCACCACATCCATTGACTATGTCCTTCGTTGAAGGGAAGCCAGCAAGCCGACGGGCGGATTAGCCTACATGGTGAAGTTCTACCAGCAAGCCGATGGACGGTTGAGCCAGCAAAAAGACAGACGGCTTAGCCCTCAAGTTACAAAGGGCCCTACATCTTGGTGAAGTTCTATCAGCAATTCGAAGAGGGTGCAGACAGGCAAAGACCCCACTCCAAGGTCAGAAGCTCACTGAGAAGCTAACTCCTAAACGGGTTGTTGAGAAGATTACCACCCTCGGCCTCGAGCCACTGATCTTAATAAAAGTTGTTGCCATGAACAACGCACCTATTGTGTTTCGCTTATTTCTTGTAAATTTAAGTAAAGGATGCTACACAACACAGTACATCGTCTCGGCTCCTTAGAGCGAAACGCTCAGGTATGGCCGACGATGTCCCAGGACGAGGGGGCCGCAAAATGGCCCGCGTCTAGAAACGGGAAGCTCACCGCGTCATCCTCGCGCTAAATCGTAGGGTGATAGGCCTGAAAGAAAACTGAGGTGACAAAATCCCCAAACTTGGGGTTGGGAAACGGCAGTCGTCGATAACCGACCAAAAGCCTGAGCCCACGCCGTAAATAGACGACGCCTCCCCCCCCCCCCAGATTAAGGTATGATCCAGCGCCAGAGGACTAACAGCTGCCCTCCTGGACTCCCTACCGGCCAAGGGAATAGCAACTCCCTCAGCCGAAGCCTGAAAAAAGGATAACCACTCCTCGCTCAATGAAGTAAAGACGAAGAAATAAAAGAGCGAAAGCCGCAGGACCGTGCACTCGTCGGCCTTGAGTGAAATCCCCACATATCAAAAGAGGGACAGCCGAAGGACCGCGCACTCACCGGCCTTGAACAAAATCCCCACAAATCAAAAGAGCGAAAGCCGAAGAACCGTGCACTCGCCGGCTTCGAGTGAAATCCCCATATATCAAGCCACATATTTGGCTAAGTACATATCAGGCAAATACTATGCAATATGGACGAAGCAAGACCATACATGCGGATCAGAGGAGCGCCCAGCGATGTCCTTCATTTTTAGACGGGCTCATCAACGTCGTCCTCATCATCAGATGAGCGTCCAACGCCGTCCATTTTCGGACGGGCTCATCAGCACCATCATCCTCAAAAACAGGCGTCCAGCGCCGTGTTTCATTTTCAGACGACCGATTCATCAGCGCCGTCGACATCAGGAGACGAGCGTCACCAGCGTCGTCCCTCATCTTCAGACGAGTGCTAACGTTGTCCTTCATTTTCAGACAGCCTCATCAAGGTCGTCCTCGTCATCAGACGAGCGTCCAACACCGTCCTTCATTTTTAGACGGGCTCATCAGCACCGTCATTCTCAAAGGACAGACGCCCAGCGCAGTCCTTCATTTTCAGACGACCGGGTTCATCAACGCCGTCGTCATAAAGAGACGAGCGTCCAAGCTTGGTCCTTCATCATTGCACCGGCTCCGCCATCCCTCACCTTCAGACGAGCATCCAAAGTCGTCCTTCATCTTCAGGCGAGATGCCACTGCCGTCCTTCATCTTCAAACGACCGACTTCATCAGCGCCGTCGTCATCAGGAGACAAGCGTCCAAGCTTGGTTCTTGATCATCGGACCGGCTCCGCCATCCCTCGTCTTCAGACGAGCGTCCAACGTCGTCCCTAATCTTCAGACGAGCGTCCAACGCCGTCCTTCATCTTCAC